GGGATTTTCTCTTCCGCTGGCGCGGTCCGGGCCGACTGTCCTGCTGAGAGAGGAACCGGAGCTGCTGAAAGCGCGACGCTGTGCTGGTAGTTGCAACACTTGAGAGGGGAACCGAGTTGCCCGGCGCGGCTGCGGTCGCGACCTGAAGCTGCACCGCTGCGGGAGAGGTCCGAGGGGCGCTCGGCTCGGGCAACTTCACTTCTTCCGCCGCTCGAGAATTGGAGGGGTGGAGAGGTGCTGGGGGTTTGGAGAAGGGCTTGTAATGAATTCTCAGGACCACCGCCTCCTCGAGCGTGGAGGTATTGGTGCTCACCAGAAACTTAGAAAGGTTGGGAAACTATCGCGTAAAGTAATGGGGTGGTGAGGGGTGGGGATCGTGGGTAGCCCCGGGAGCGCGGGACCGCCGATTTGCTTTGCAAGCCGCAGCGTCCGGCGGGGTTGAGCGCCGAGATTTGGGGAAGTGGGAGCTGCCCGGGCGGGGCGTCCCGAGGAGACTCGGCCACGCGCTGTTTGTTTCCTTTCACTTCCTGCAGCGGCCGCTCGCTATGAGGAGGGGAGCGGGCCTAGGGCGGAGCGGCCTCGTCCCCCGGGCCTGAGCGCCCACCCGCTGCCGCCGCGGGACGTCCCCAACCCTCCGGGGCTTTCGGCCATGGGCGCTCGGTGAATAGGCGACGTGGGGAGTCGTGGACCTGCCACTTCGGGAGGTAATGCTGGCTCAGTTTTGAGTGGCCCGGGGAGAGCGAAGAAACCCTAAAATGGAGGACTTTACTACCAGGACGTACGGCACTAGTGGCCTGGACAACAGACCTCTGTTCGGAGAGACGTCGGCCAAGGTGAGTGCGGACCCGGATTCCAGGGTAATGGGTTTGTGTGTCTGTGTGTCTGCGCTCCCGCCCAGAGTCCTGGTTGCGGCCCCGGGAAGCACTTGTGGGTAGAAAGAGCTGTTTCTTCTATCCTGCTTCCCTCTTAAGATGTTTGTCCTGCCACTTGGCTCCTTGTTGGGGGTAGGGTTGGCCCGGAGCTCTGAAAGCAGGGTTTGGGGGGCGGGGGGCGGGGTGGAGAAAAGTTCAGGAAGTTCTGGGCTGATAGGGGTCCTTCAGGGGAGTGCGGAAGCCTCTCTCCGTGGGGGATGGAGTGCTAATCTCTGAGAGGCTTCAGGTGTGAGACCAAAGCTTTCGTAAGAAAGAACCCTGCAGAGGTGCTTCTGATTAGTATTTATCTAGAGCCATTAAGGGTTTATACTGAGGCAGCCAAGCAAAGAAAAAGAGGCTTGGAATGAGATTTTCTTTGATGGCATTCCATTCCTGGAAGGGATCAAAGAGTCTCTGGACCTAAACAAGCTATAGTATCTTGTTTTAGCCTTCTAACAAGGATAATGCCTTCTTACAAGCTTTATCATGTGATGCTCAGGACCAGTAATTGAAGACAGAGCTCTTTTCCTGTCTTCAGCCGTAACTTTGAGTTGTTTTGGCAAGATTAGCCTGTGGTTTTTTTGTTTTTGTTTTTGTTTTTTTTTTCCAGCTAGAAAGTGATCTTAGTAACCTTTCACCCCTGAAAAGGACTTTCAGGCCTCTCAGAAAGGAGGGCACATGTGGAGTCCAGAGCTTCTTGGGTTTCTTAGCTTTGACGGGGGACCTCTATCACCAAGGATTGGAAACTTGTACACCCGGGAGTGTGGGGCATAGTCCTGAATTTGGGCTGCCAGCCTGCCACAGGACAACTACTTTATTTTTTAAATTCTTTGTGGATGTCCTTGTTTTCTTAAAGTATCTTAACAAGAAAATGCTTTAAGCTTGATCTCTAGGAAGATGCACCTTGTTTATTTGGGGGCTTTGCATAATCCCTGCCCACATTGCTTGTGGTTTGAGAAGCATGGTTGTAGTTTATTAGACGTACCTGTTTCTGCTACAGTTATTGAGCGTTATGTGACAGGCCCTGGGGATCCAAGGAACACAGGTGAGGGAAATATGTAAACTAATGTGATGCGTTGGATCTGTGCTATGGCGGGGCATAGAGGGGGTATGTTGGGGTACACAGGAGAAACTGGTCACTTTTGTTTGGGAAGCTTTGGCAAGATCTTGGATGGCTTCTCCATTCAGATTTTCTGATAGCCTTGGGCTTTCAGATATAAATGTCCCTAAATTGGGGTTTAACAAGAAGAGGATTTGAGTCCTGGAGAGTGGAGGCAGCAGCTTGCTGCTTGTTGGACCCAGGGCACCTGACTGTCCAGCTGTTCCAAGAGCTAAGAGGTTCACTGTCAGCCTCATGTGCCTTGGTGCACAGATTGGGGTTCTGGGTGATGTAGACTTCTGACCCCCTTTTTAAGCCCCACAGCCCCTGAATACTGAGGTGGATGATTTGGTAATGGACTTGATTTATAGAGGCACTGAGAAATACTGATGTTTTCTGACTTGCTTGGGCCTAGATAGTTAATGACTGTAAGTTTCCTATTGCCTGTGATCAAGTTGAAACCATCCAAGAACCTTTCAAAATGTTTATCTGTTGGCTTCATAATTATTTAGTCCAAGAGTATATGGGCCTGGCATTATTTAGGCAGCTTTGGGCATTTATAACAGAAGATTTGGCTACTCCGAGACAACGTTAAGAATAAGATAATTGGGGCACCTGGGTGGCTCAGTCGGTTAAGCGTCTGACTTCTGCTCAGGTCACGATCTCCCCATTGAGAGTTCGAGCCCTGCATCAGGCTCTGTGCTGACAGCTCAGCACCTGCAGCCTGTTTCAGATTTTCTCTCTCTCAAAAATAGATAAACATTAAAAAAAGTGTTTTTATTTTTTTTTTATTAAAAAAAAATTTTTTTTAATGTTTATTTATTTTTGAGACAGAGAGAGACAGAGCATGAGTGGGGGAGGGTCAGAGAGAGAGGGAGACACAGAATCTGAAACAAGCTCCAGGCTCTGAGCTGTCAGCACAGAGCCTGACGCGGGGCTTGAACCCACGAACCGTGAGATCGTGACCTGAGCGAAGTCGGAAGCTCAACTGACTGAGCCACCCAGGCGCCCCTAAAAAAAGTGTTTTTAGATAAGATATAATTCCAGATAACAGAATTGCTCTCTTTAGCCCCCTCCATGAGGCTGACAGAATAATTGGACATAGAGAAGTTACACAGAACTGAGAAACAGACCAGTGGTCTGAGGATGGGAGAAAACCTCGTGACTTTTTTTTTTTTCCAGTCAGCACAAAAGTGTTATTTCTTTTAAGGATAACAATTAAACCATATCCAGGGTCTTAACTTACAGTTAGAAGCCAAAGTGGCATCTATTTTTATTTATTTTAATGTGTATTTTTGAGAGAGAATGCGCGTGTGAGCAGGGGAGGGGCAGAGAGAGGAAGACACAGAATCGGAAGCAGGCTCCAGGCTCTGAGCTGTCAGCACAGAGCCCGAATGCAGGGCTCAAACTCAGGGACCATGAGATCATGACCTGAGCTCAAGTTGGATGCTTAACCGACTGAGCCACCCAGGTGCCCCCAAAGCGGCTATTGAAAGCATTAGCTATTGAGATGCAGTACACACACTCAGGGAAATTGCTTTGCCATCTGAAGCTTACGTCAAACTTGGCTTGGTCGACAGCTGAGCTCTGCTGGTGCCTGGGTGTGGTTGAGGGTAAGAGTATATCTGTGCATCGTATGTCTTACAAGTTGAGATGTCAGGTGTGAAGAGACGGAGATTTGTGTCTTTAAGGACAGCAAATGATTTTATTGGAGGATCTGAAGTGGGCAAGGCACAGGAACTGGGTAGGACATGTTGCAGTGGAGCCATTCCCATGGAGGACAGTCAGTGCCAGAGCAGGCTCTGTTCCTGCAGACCCAGAGAAAAACCTTCGTTGGCCCCTACATGTAGGTTTTCCCTGCTTGCTCACTTTCAGATGCTAGGAAACTGGACACCAAAGTCACTTAACAGTGAGACTTAATACATTACAACTCCTGAGGAGAAAATCCAGAAAGGGGAAAGCCTACGTCCTGTCATAATCTGATAGAGCCTCTGAGCTTCCAGTAACCATGTTTGCTCTACAGCAACTGACCACATATAGCCTCTCAATTTTAAATCGAGAAAGGACCAGAGAGCTTTAGGTCCAGTCTCTAGCTTTAAGGCAAAGGTGACTGAAAGCCCACAGAGCAGAACAACGTCTTAAGGGAAGTCGTGTGTCCTCAATGCCACAGGCACCCTGCTAGGCGTTCCACTTTCCTTTGCTTGGTCACCCAATTCCTTTGTGAGGTGGGCATTGTTACTTTTGGAATTAAGGAAACCAAACACACAGCAGGCTGCTTGTTCCGTCACACTACTAGTGCTTGCCTGGTAATGTTTTAACAACTTGTTTTCATGAGTTGAATAGGATAGTAAATGGTAAATTATGCAGTCTGTGCTACATACTTTGTTTTTTATTAAAAATTCTTTTTTAATGTTTATTTTGACAGCACACGCATACAAGTAGGGGAGGGGCAGAGAGGGAGAGAGAGAATCCCAAGCAGCCTCCACGCTGTCAGTGCAGAGCCCGATGCGGGGCTCAAACTCCCGAACCATGAGATTATGACCTGAGCCCGTATCAAGAGTCAGACGCTGATCTGACTGAGCCTCCCAGGAGCCCCTGTGCTACATTCTTTGAAAAGCACTATAGACATTCACATACCAGTTTTCCATTCACAGGAAACAGGTGAGTCACAGAGTAAGTGAAAGATACTAGAATCTACTGTAGAACAACTGATATGTAACCCAGTGGGACTCGAGCAGCTCTCTTGGGCAGTCTCTGAAGGAACTTTTGTTTTCACCTGTACGGGATGCACATACTTCATTTACCAAAGTCCAAACTTACTCAAACTTAGAGTTTGGTAAATGAAGTATGTGCATCGTGTACAGGGATCCCGTACTCAGAATTCTGCATGATGCTTAGGAATACCCTCTCACATAGAGCCATAGAGGGAAAGGCGGAGTGAAGCAGTTCTGTCATTACCTAAATATTGAAGGGATAATAGACAAAGAAAGAAAGGAACGATGTTTATCTTTTTTGGAAAACTGTCATTCCTTTGGAATTACATATTGCTAGGTGGGGTAGCTTTAGAATCCTGGTCAGAATGTTGTTTTCATCTATTTTTATCCATTCCCAAGTTCTGGGATATAGTTATGTATATTCTCTAGAGTGAAAAACAGCTGTTGGCACAGTTACCTGGATGGATATATCTGGGATTTCCAAGCCTATGCTCTAGCTTAGCATTTTCTAAAGGAGCACTAGCCAGTAGAAATAAAGTGTGAGCTGCCTATGTGATTTTAAATGTCGTAGTAACCATGCTAAAGTATAAACAGGTAAAATTAATTTTAATACGTCTTATTTAATTTCCTATCAAAAATACACTTGAGGGGAGCCTTGGTGACTGAGTCGGTTGAGCATCCGACTTCAGCTCAGGTCATGATCTCACGGTTCATGAGTTCAAGCCCTGCGTTGGGCTCTGTGATGACAGCTCAGAGCCTGGAGCCTGCTTCCGATTCTGTGTCTCCCTCTCTCTCTCTCTCTCTCTGCCCCTCCCCCACTTGCTCACGCTCACATGCTCTCTCTCTCTCTCTCTAAATAAACATAAAAAAGGTTAAAAAAAAAAAGTACATTTGAGGGGCATCTGGGTGGCACAGTTGGTTAAACTTCCGACTCTTGGTTTCAGCTCACCTCATGACCTCATGGTTTATGAGTTTAATCTCCATGTCAGGGTCCTTGCTGACAGTGCAGAGCCTGCTTGGGATCTCTGCCCCTCCCCTGCTCACTCTCTTTGTCTCTCTCAAATAAATAAACTTAAGTACATTTGAATGTACAATCAATATAAAAAGCAGACATATGTTTACATTTCTGGACTAAGCCTTCGAAATCCAGCGTGTATTTTTCACTTTGAGCCCATGTCAGTTCGTGCTGGACACATTCCGGGTGCTCAGTAACCACAAACAGCCAGTGCTACATTATTGGACAGCACGGTTCTGAAGCAGGTGAGTTCTTAGTTACGGTGGTTCCATAATCATTATCACAAAATATTTTTCTTTTCTGTGGGACTTCTCAGAACCTTGAATATGGCAATTTTCTCAGGGACTCTGATTGGAGAGAGTGATAAGTAGTACTTCTGGACTGTTGGTGACGTAGCCTTTTAGGACTGGCACGAGGTGTTATGTATGGAGTTCTTACCTCCCCCATGGGAGTGTTCATGAGACCAGTTTCTACAGGACACCCTTTGGGAAATACTACCGTACAAAGCCTCATCTTTTGCTCCTTCCTTCCTTCCCGCCCTCCCTCCTGAACTAAAACCTGGAGAAATTCCCCCTCTCTTGTGCAGGGCAGTCTTTGTTATTATTATTGTTATTTTTTTATTGTTTTTTAAGTTAATTTATTTGGAGAGCACACACACGAGCAGGGTGGGGGTAGAGAGAGAACCCCAGGCAGGCTCCAGGCTGTCATGCTGTCAGCACTGATTTACGGGGCTTGATCTCATGAACCCTGACATCATGACCTGAGCTGAAGTCAAGAGTCCGATGCTTAACAGACTGAGCCACCCAGGAGCCCCTCCAGGACTGCCTTTAAAAGTATGCCTTAGGACAACACATAGTTGGGTGTCTTTCTGTGTAATGGAGGGGCGCTATGTTAACCTCAAGCTTGTGAGTCGGTCTTCGTTCGGTTTGCTGGCTACCTTCCCAATCATCTGAAGTCCGTGTGTTCCAGTGCAGATGGGGTGAACCCAGGCCGGGAGGGAGAGGATGGCTGTCTCTGGGGAGAACGCAAACCAGCACCTTCTTGCTGGAGCAAGCGGGAATATACTGGTAGAATATAGTATAAACTGCCTTCTAGACCAGCCTATTCTATTGATTTGTCACTGATCCCCAAAATAAGTGATTCATTTTCTAAGGGGATGGTGATGGTGGTTGGATGTTATAGAAGAAAATGAGTGACTTTGGCCAAGGTGCATACGTTGAACTCTGATGATTGGGGTGGGGGTGGAGCGCTCTGTGTAGAGGACAAGTTACTGGGCCCTGAGGCTCAGATCTTTGGTTCCAAAGGCAAGAGTTCCGTGTACAAAAAGCATCCTCTGTTCTTTTCCTGTAAACAAAACATATAAAATTGTTGGGGGCGGGGGGAAGGTCTTTTTATGTCCGGTACTCCAGTTAAAGCAATTCAGACTTGGGGCATGTGGCTTCTGCAAATGATAGTGTAAAATGAGAGTGCTCCTTCGTGTCCTTTTTTTGTGGGAGGGTGGGTTTAAAGGTTGCTGCTTAATTAAGGACAAAGCTGCGATTAAGATGGTTATGTCTGGCTGCTGCCCTTCCCCCTGCCTAGAACCCTGAAGTCTTTCCTCTGAGGGGTGCAGGCTTCTAGCTTCTTTCCTCTTGACACGGCTTCTGGGCAAACCTCAGAGCACAACTCCTGTCTCCCTCATGGGAGAGGTCGTAGCCCAAGGGACCAGATCAACCGTCCCCTTGCCTCTCAGATAGCCTGACAAACCACAGGTTTCTTGTGCTGGAGACAGTTCAGGATGATTCAGGCCATCGTTTGTTTCTTCCCTACCATAATAAATTTGCTCTTTCTCATCCTCAGACCAGAGGACTGGGGATCTCTGGGGGTTGGACTCTGGCAGAGGTAACTTGGGAAGGCTCTCAGAGGATGCTGGTGCATAGAGAGGGCTGAAATGTCTGGGTCTTACCCAAGCTGTGTGGACACTCAGGGCAGGCTGGCGCCTCTCCACCCACCTCTTTGCTTTTAGCTGTCTCCCGCTATGGGCAAATGCTGTTTACCTTTCCGTAGCATTGTTGCCGAACCCTGAAATCGGATTGGTGATGTGCAGTAAGCCTGTCTCTGAGTCACTGGGTGTGAAGCAGAGAAAGTTGTAGTAAGAGGAGGGCAGCCCAATAAGAAGACAGGGGAGCATCGCCAAATCTGAGTTGCCCTATTGAGCCTAGGAACATGATTAGCAGAATATGTGGCAGTCATGGCAGGATGTGGATGGGCCTTGAAACTTCTCAAGGGGGCCTCGAAACTTCTTGAGGTTATCATGTGCTGTCCTCAGAGTCTTGGTGCCAGCCAGAGGGTCCTGGTATGTTACATGTTAACCTGGTGTCTGTTACCGGTTCTGCAAGACAGACATTTCAACTGGCATCCCACTCCTGGTCTCTGTAATTAGCTTCAGGAAAAAGAATGAAAGGACAGAGTTAATAATTGTGTTGCAAGGTGGCGAAGGAA